GCCCGCCTCGCCCCGGATCCCGGCGCTCCGCCCGTCCGGGAGAAAGACACCTGTAGAAAGTGCCACTGGGAACTTTTCTCTCCCTGATGCGCCCGCGATTACCGAATTTGGGTTTCGGGTTTGCACAATAGTGTTGGCTTTGGGGAGCGGGGAAGCAGGTGCCCCGCCCGGCTGAGTGCGAGGGTCACCGCGAGCGGAGACGGAGCCCCCGGGCCTCGGTCCCACGTGCGAGGCGTCTGGCCGGGGAGGCCGGCGACGCGCGTTCAACCGTGGTCCTCGCTTTGCGAGCGACGGCGGCGGAGTAGCCCCGGCGCTGCCATCTGGGCCCTCTCCCCACCGGCCCTTTGTGCCTGCTAATCCCCGGACGCAGGAAGCCCGCGGGAGGGACTTAGGTCTCTGGGCCTTTCCCTGCCTGCTGGCTTTGGGCACCTTTAGGGGACAGTACGGAGACCTAGCCTGTTTTCCACGACGACAGGGGTGGGGCTGCGCTGCGGAACGTAGGACCTGTCGAGCAGTGAGAAAGTCTGTCTTGCCAAAGAAAGTGTGCAAAGTTTGCTGCTCTTGGTCGGCAGACACTTTGTAGCTTTGGCTGTGGGGAGAAGTGACTGTAACAGGAGAGCCGTGGTGTGCCCCCCTGAGGTTTTCACCTGGCTCAGGTGGCTTTGGGTGAGGTGGGCGGGGCTTAGACTCAGGCCCCTTCCCGTGGGGATCCACTTGCCAGATGCAGGGAGTCTTTCCCTGGGCTCTGGGGACCCCCTGCAGAGTTTATGGCGCAAGGCTGCAGAGGGGATTCTGAAGGGGGTGGGGTGGGGAGAGCTGGGAGGGAATGGGTGTGTCTGGGAGACTGAAAACCCCAGGTGGGAAATACAGAGCAGCAGCTAGAAGAGCTGTGGCCCAGCTCTGGGGGAGCCAAGGTCAGAAGTGGATTTGGGGGAAGATCGTGGGGGTCTGTATGAACTGAAGTATGAGAAGGGTCCTGGGAGATGGTCTTTATTTTATGGACAGGGAAGCCGCATTTGGTTTCATTAAGTGCTTTGCCCACAGTGCTCACAGCAGACAGGAGGACTCAATCCTGGCTCTGGGGGCTCCGACCAGGGCTGGCTCCTCTTCTTGGAAGTTAGACTGGGCCAGTCTCTATGGGAGCCACTAGAGAGTGTTTCCCGGGTCTGGATAATTATGCATCCCTACTGTAATCATGGAGGCAATGAAGCGTCCCCTTTCGTGGCAGATTAATACAATTTTTATAACTTAGTCATGTAGCACTTAGTAACTTCTTAATACACAGTTGCATTAAAAAAAAAAAAAAAAAGCCGGTAATTCCAGATGACCCCTATTGGCTTAAGAAGTAAAAAGGTAATAGCCCATAGTGGGGTAGATGAAACATTTTAGAAAGTGTAAGAGGGAAAAATTTATCCCTCTTGCCTCACAGTCTTTCCTCAAACACAGTGTCCATTAAGTGTTTCAGTGTCTTTCTAGACTCAGGTATCATGCCCAGCCGATGCCTTGCTGCATGACCCTGTCTCGGTCAGTTAACCATGCCCAACCTCAGCTGAGCCTTGTTTGACAGATGATGAGCGGATGAAAAAATGTCACAAACATGTGTGACCTGGAACGTAGCTGGGGCCAGCTGAGGGTGTTTCTTAACATCCCCATGAAGCATAAAAACTGTGGTTACTTGTGGGCCTTTGGGTAGATGCCCGGGCCTTTTGGATTTGCCTGGTGGATTGTAAGGGAATCTGGCTTCTCCATCCAAATTTCTAGCCAAGGGGTCATGATTTTCGAGAACCTCTGGAGGTCAGAACTTTTAAAATGAGGACGGGTGTTGGGAGGCAGAGGTAGAGGGCAGTGGCCTCTCCTAACCTCACTTTGTATTCCAGTGGTCCTTGGTAATTCTCCTCCTTGGGGGAACCAGGAGAGGCCCAATGGCCAGAGCCCAGCTGGGGGCCTATCCTAGGGTGTGTGTGGGGTGCAGGGTTGTAAAATCTGATCGTTTCTGCTTTCTACTCGGGAGGGATTGGCTGTAGACCTTCTGCACCCTGTTGCAGGGAGGGGGGAGGGGAGCGCATTCCCGTGCTGCTCTGTTGTCATTAAGGAGATTTTCTGAGAACTCTATAGTGCTTTCTTTCAACCTTATTTAGGGAATGAGTTCCTGGCCCCAGGACCTTCTCCCTAGGAGAAAGTGGTGCATGGAGCTGGAAAGTTCGGAGCCTCTGCCGTCAGTCTGTGATCCCCTGTCTACCCCATTGGAGACATTAAGCATCCAGGGCAAGAGTCTCCAGGAGCATTGTGGGATTTCCTAGGTTGCTCAGCCCTCCTGGTTTATCCATATGTTTCAGAGCAGCTGCTGAAACACCTGAGTTGGGGTGGAGAGGCCGGTGGTCCCTACTCTTGGGCTGGCTGCTCCGAGTACCACTGGCCTCCAGGACTCACTTATCGTGAGTAATCAGCTTGGAGGGGCCTTCCTGTCTCACTCAGGCAATATCACTGTCAGGGATCTGGGATTGAGGCTCCCCAGGGTGCCTCAGGAGACCTCCTTCCCTGTGCCCTGTACCATGGAGCTTTGCCCAGCTCCCTTTGAGGTGACCTTCCCTCCCTGCCCTGCCTCTCAGAAGAAACTGGTCCTTTGAAGAGCCACTTCATTCCTTCCCCTTCCCAGGAACGACTGAATTCTTGAGCTAGGAGAGGCTCCTCTGGGCGTGGAGACAGGGAAGCTGCTAGGGACCTGACTCTACCCTTCAGGAATTCAGCAGTGACCGGCGCCTTCTCTTGAAACACCTGTGTTACCAGGGTTTGATAAAAGGGACCTCTGGGTACAGGACTGTTTGACTCTTGTAAATAATGCTGTTGTTGGATTCTCCTCACCATGGAGCTGGGTGTCCTGGAGCCTCGGACTGAGGCAGGGCCCACAAAATAGCCCCAGCAGGATTTCAGGCATGATGTCTTCATGGCCCTAGTCTTGGCTAGAGACTTGAGAACAGGGT